TGGAGGAAATGGGGCACTGTTGGCCTAGGATCGAGGGAGCGAGAAAGAGTAGGCCAACATAAAAATGATGGTTAGTTGGCTACTGCATTGATGTTAGAAAGGATTAGGAGAGAGTAAGAGGAAGAGGTGCCGTAGATAGGTCTCTTGATGAGATAGGAAGATAGGGAGTAAGAGGAAAAGAATAAAATAAAAAAATTAGGATTTTTTTTTGGGTAAAAAATAAAATAAAAGAGTTTGGTTAGTTTTACGAATAAAATATTAATATATTTAAATTTAATTTGATTGATAAATTAAATTGATCGAATTTTAATTTGATTTAATAATAATTAAATTAATTTTAAATTTTAATTGAATCGAATTTGAATAATTTATTAATACTAATATATGATTTATATTTTTAACACAAATGTTGAATTCTTACTTTTTTTATTTTTTTTCAAGTAAATGAAATATAATGTACCAAATATTTATGATGCCTTACTCAATAGTTAATACACAGAACTCTATGGATTAATAATGGAGATCTTTTTTTTATGCCAGATTTGATGTTGTGTTTGCAACATGTAATTTATAGTTAAATTTAAATACAATGAATGGGAAAAAATAAAGTTTGAGCTTGAAAAAGGATTCTCTTGTGAAGAGAATATTTTAGCAGCACCTAATCTAACTCTAATTTATAGTAGCATCTTATTTTTGTACTTTTGCGTACAAATTACAATAAGGAAGTTTTTACCATGATTTTTATCAACACGATTTTTACTTTAACTAATTACTTTGTCTTTAATATTTAAAGAAATAGGGGAAAGATGAATTTAGTAAAAAATTAAATAGAAGAAAATTAAAGAGATCAATGCCTTCTTTGTGGTGGAATAATTAACAGCTTCTTTGGCTATTTGAAAAACACCTACGTCAGTTCCTAACTATCTTGTTCATCAATAAGAAAAAAGAAAAAGAAAAGCACAAATTTTGTATTGAGCTTGGTTGTGAGTAATTGGTTGAGTAAATATGTCATTCTTAATTCACTGAACCTTACCTAATAACAAATAATAATAATAACATTAATTAAAGAAGCAAGAAAGAAGTGAGATTTAATTAGTAAGAAAAGGATTTGACTTCTCTTAACTTTTTATTATAAAGGGCAAATGAGATGTTTTAAATGAAGTTTGTAATTTTTTTATTGAAAATAATTTTATAGAATTTAAAATAAAAATTTCAAATTAATATTCACTTTTTTTTTTAAATGTTCATCATTCATTTTTTTTAAGATAATGAATTCTTTTATTATGTAAAAAAAGTTAAATAATAATTTTTATATATGAAGTTTTTAAAATTTAATATCTTCATATTACGAAATCAAAGTTAACTTTCATATAAATGAACATTCACTATTAGATTTAAATTTTATCGATGATTATTTATTAAAATTATTTCGAATATATAATTTATAATTATTTATCTTAAACTGTCAAGTATGATATATTTTATCATGATTTTATAATTAAGTAGTTTATTTACTCATGAATTTAAAAATATATATATTTGCTGTATTTATCCTTTTTTATACATGTATGTCAATATCTAATACTACAAGCTCTACAATTATAGGTTTATTTATGACGATGCTTGTGCATTAAAAGCCTTTTGGTTTTTTGTCAGACAAAAGCCTTTTTAAATTACCATCGCAGAAATCGGTGCATGATAGTAAAAAATGAGTACTGTTAAAGCGCTTAAAATTGAATAGATAAAGTTAGCTTTTACTAGGTTTATATTCTGATCAAGTGCGATGATTTTATGCGCATTTATATTATTTAATAACTATATTAAATTTAAATTATATTAAATATTAAATAGATTTATTTATAATTAATTGAATTTATGAATATAATAAATTTATGAATGATTAAATTCATAAATAATTAGATTTATTCAATTTTAATTTGGTTAATAATTAATTAATAATAAATATGAATTTAATTTTAAAATTTTAAATGATATGAAACACAAAATACATTTATGTATAATTAATTGAATTTATGAATAATAAATTTCTATTTGCACCTATTTTTTCTGTTCATTTTTTTTTTCAAAATTATTTCCAAATGAGATTAGTTAATTACTTTTTCTCAAATCCCTTTTCGCTTTTAAGCTTCTGTATTAATAAATTCAAAAGTTTTTAAAAGTTTCGGATTTACATATTATGAAGTTTTTAAAGTTTTTGTTTCAAATAGTTTAAATGAAAAAATTAAAAATTTATATGCATAATTTTTGTCTATCAAATTGTAAACAAATATAGAATTATTTAAAACAAATATATTTTTTTTCTTTGTAATGGTGTAAAAAATTTTTAGGATATGAGATTTTTTTTTTCAAATGATTTTTTCCTTAAATTCTAAGTATAACCTATTAGATATGAAAATTCAATAAATTATATTGTTTATCGGATAAATATATTTAATAAGTTATAAAATTTACCGACCATACATATTTAAAATTTTAAAATTGAGATTATAAAAGATAATTAAGTAATTTTACTTAAAAATAATTTTAAAAATGTATATGTAAAGAGAAAAAATAAAGATGCATTTAGAAGCACCCTTATAAATATCATTCATGAATATTTAAATTCATGACAAACAAAGTATATTCATCTATATTTAATTATATTCATTAATATCTTGGATTTATAAATGAATATTTAAATATAGTAGATATGAATATAAACTCAAATTTTAAATAATATGAAATATATTTATTGATAATTAATTAAAATCTTAAATGTTATAAATAATTAAAAAAAATTCAATGTTAAAAAAAAAAGCAACGTATTGCCATATCAACAACTTACGATAAAAATAGTATACATTAGATTATTTATTTTCTTAAAGAAAATAAAACAAAAGATTACGAAAAAAGACAATTACTTTCTAAATGTCAAGCTTATCTCTACTAACCATAGCTAACTACTTAAAAAGAATGAGAAGGACTTGGAAATATCCCTACTTCTCTTCTAGGATTGATAGACAAATTGTTATGATTTCAAAGAGGAGTCATCAATTTTATATAGTTTGTGTATTAAAGTTCAATTTGAAATACAGTATTTACTTTCTCTTCATTCAACTTGTAAGATTTATTTTGCTAAATAAAATTGTGAGAATTAACGAATTAAAAGGAATAATAACTTACAAATTAGTATGAAGTATTAAAAAAAAAAAAAAACCTTAGCAGTATATACTAAAACACAAAAAGAAATAGTCTGGCCCGAAATAAAAAGAAGAGAAAATATGCGGTAAACAGAGTAAAAAAGGAACTGCAACTCGGTATTTCGTCTAGCAAATCATAATCCTTCTCGGT